AAATTGCTGTCATTTTTTGTTGAATTCAAATTTGAATTGGCAAAATATTTACAAACAACTGAATTTTTATATACTTTATATTAACAATTAACTGTGATTAAAATCAAAGAGATTTATATGAAATTCATTCTGCAGATGACCGCATGAACGTGTATTTGTATTGTTACCTCGTCAGTCATTTTAGGGGCAAAGTTAGGAAATTGGGACAGTGATATCTCGACTTTTTTTTTGGTTGAAATAGGGAAATTGTGTCCCAACTGAAGCGCACTTCGATTCCGCGCGCATTTTTGTAGATTCTCTTGTCGACTGGTTGAAACTGCGATTTGTGAGAAAAACAGGCAAAATTATTCATTGTCATGTTCACTTTAAACCAAGTTGCATACCTTCTAAAAACTGCAAACTTCAAGGAAATGAAACGAGCGTACAAAGTCTTGAAACATAAGTGCGCGGTTTTGAAACATGTGTTGAAACGTTAGTTCAATTTGTTTTCAAAATAGCTTTTCTTTGTTTTCGCTTTTTTTCTCGTCTTTGACTTAGTAGATCTGAAAAGAGAAAGAGCGAAAACAAAATACCTGAAAAATACTGAATAAAATGAAATAAAAGTTAATGCTCACCTCTCTAGCCATGGGTGATTTGCGCCCCGAGTGAAGCATCAAACYGCTCAGGAAATATGCATGGATATCAAGCGACCACAATTTTTCAGAAAGAAAATTCCGCGAATCGCAAGTTTCTTCAGTCTCTTCTCCTCTTGGGTGCGATTTTAAAATGTAATTCTGAATTCTGCGCTTGAATTAACCGGTAAACACAAAGTCGTCATGTTTGCAATGTACTAAAGCTTGCAAGTACAAAAGCACACGATCAGAAATGTTTGATTTTAAAATGTCGTTAGTTGTTATGACAACGGATTGTATCGTCACTTTGTATAACGTCACGCCATGAAAGAAGCGTGGAGCATGGGTACTAAATTATTGGCAACAAATAAAATGTTGCCGCTATAGTAAATGACCAAAGACGCAAGTTTAATGTAAAAGCAACCAGAATATGCTTGTTTTTCTACACGCTTCTGATTCGTGTCGTTGGAATCACATTAGTTATCTTAGTCCAGTCGTTTTTCTTGCAGTTTTCTAAAAAATAGCAACAACATCAAAAGTAACTGACTAGTAAAAATAATAATTATAATATGGCTTTGATGAACCACACGATGTTTTTGAAGTTCATTATTTAATGGAGAAAATTCATGTTTCGGATGAGACATCATCCATCGTTAGCACCTTAATCCTTAATTATTATTCTTATTAATATCTCACTTTGTCACGCTATTTAATGCATAGTTTCATTTTATTTCTCACTGAACAACTGACGATGGATGATGTCTCATCCGAAACATGTATTTTTTTCATTAAATAATGAAATTCAAAAACATCGTGTGGTTCATCAAAGTCATATCTTACTTCGTGCTGGTACGATATATAATAATAATAATAATAATAATAATAATAATAATAATAATAATAATAATAATA